AGATTTAATTAAAATGATGTTGTTAACTAAAATAAAAAATAAAAAATAAAAAGAACCTTACCAAAATGTACCTAAGGTTGGGTTCAGGTACAATCAAACTCTCAAGTATATCTCAAATTAATTTTTAATTAAAAAAGAAAAGTTAAGTGTAGTGAGTGAATATTCTGTATTCACTAATGAGAACAAAAATCCTCCAAATTCCAAAAAAGATCTTTTAATAGACATAGATCAGTATAAGAATGTACACTGTCACTATATGTCTCTATTGTAAAATCAATGGTCTTACAAAAGATAAGTGTTTGTTGAATGAATTAAATGCTTATACATTCTCTAAAATAAGTAAAATAAAAGTTAGATGAAGACACCTCTTGGTAAATAGGAAAGGTATCTCAATATTTAAGTCTGGTATTAAAACGCTCATTTTATACCATTTACAATGAAAGTTAATGCACATATTCCACTCAGTTGTTTTTTGTGTTGCTGTCCATGGCACTTAAAATGAATCAGAACAAGCAGCAAAACATGTTGTGCCAAACCAAGTGTTTCCAAAGCGGTGAACAATTTGGTTTAAGGCAATAATGCTTGCTAGTCAGAGTAGTTTAATAGCAGTTAAACAACTGTGGTTTAAAAATTAACTTGTGGTGAAAGATTTCACAAATGATTCATGGACAAATCACTGATACTACATCTATTATGCCACCATAATTGAAAACAACTGGTAAAACTTAAGCTCATTTTTAATGTGAGTAGGAATGCTATTGAACTGATTCTTCTTCTGAATCGATGACCCAAGGTTACCTGTTGTTTTTTTGGAAGAAATTAAAAAATATTAAGAGTAAAACACTTACCCACTTGACTTTCTCAATGTTCACTCTCTCAAGGAAGTATTACAATTATTGTCCTTCTTCATCTTAACCTGTATTAATAGCTCACTTAGATAAAGCACTGTCCCTACTCACTGTAAAAGTCAGTTTTTCAACCATGCCTGAAGAAGTTGTCATTAAATCCAAGTATTCCATATAATCTCAAATTCTACACTGCCTTTCTTGGCTGAGGTCCGTAGAAAATGATCACTGAAAATGAATTGCCTACATTTCATTTATGGATGGAAATAGACTTTCCACTGGTTGACCACCAGTGAGAATGTGACAGCAATGATCACAAAAGTATTGTAAATTATCTTAAACAGCATTTGTGAATATAGCTGCTGTTTTTTAAACAAATTTTATTCCCAAGTTTCTATTGCTGGTGGTGACAGATCATCTAGTGCAGTGAGAGTATGTGGGATACTTCAGGGCTCCATTCTTGGCCCATTACAGTTTACATTACAGCTGTAACTTTGCATTGATCCCAATAACATTGACCACTTTGATGTCCTGTGTAAATGTTTTTCAGCTACTTTGTATGTTGTTTGTGTTTTTTATCAAATGACAAAAACACCAAGATACTATTACTCATGATAAAGTATGTTATCATGTCTGTATCATTGCAATTCATTATACACCTTTCTGAGAACCTGACCAGACTTAAAACATAACATAACACTGCATCCAGAATCCTTACCACCAATAGAAACAGCATATCACACATATTTTAGTTGCCCTGTGCTATCTCCACTACAGTTCAGTGCTGATTTTAAGATTCTAGTATTCATGTTTAAAACACTGGCTGGTCGGGCTCTCAGCTATATTACTTAGCTTTTAAATCCCTACGAGCCTATAGTTGCTGCCTGAGATCATTGGGAAGGTCACTCTTAGCTGTACCCAAATCTAATTTGAAAACTCAGGGTGACCTTGCTTTTCATATTAAGGCTGCAAAGCTTAGGAATGACCTCCCTGAGGTGAACAGGTTTCACTAACAAGTTTTAAATCTCTTCTTCAAACTTTAGACTTACTTTATTGTCTTAACATGCTCGCACCTTATCACGTGTCCCACTGGTCCAAGGCAAATGCTATGTATCTTCAGATGCCCCATTCGTCACTCTCTATAGCAGTATTTCCTGTATTTGGTACAACTCGATGTGACTCTAATCTACTAGCTTTTGGTACCTCTACTCTGTTTTGCTCTGTAGATAGATAGTACCCCCTCAATTTAGGTGTAACTGATCATAGTTCAGTCATAATGACAACCAGGAAACTACAAGGAGCTTTACTGTAAATGTAACCCGCCAACTTCACTGCTCTCTTTTCCTTTGCACAGCTCACATCACCATCTTTCCCTCTCAAACATCCACACAATACGCGCACAAAAAGGAGCTACCATTCTTATAACAGAGGATATGAAAGGATAGTGTGTAGTATGGTGTGGTTTTGCAAGCTGCCATTTTTTCGGTGAATAAAAACATTTTTGGGTCACTATTGATGGTATCTTGCTCGCTTGGAACCTCGACTGCGGTGGTACCAAAAACCACGTAACAGGTACTATCCATAATGGAAAACCAAAAAGAGCAAGTAGAGCCGAGTCGAGCTATACCATGTGATGGAAAAGCAGCTGAAGTTTAACGATCAAATAAAGGGATTGTCTTAAAAATAATGTTATGAAAAAAAGAAGGGTGGCCATTCAATGCAAGACATTTTTAATTTGTGCACAAAAAGCAGGCACCAAGAAGCAAAAAGAACGCAAGAAGGTTCCTGGAATAGCAGCTACTCAGCTTGAAATGTGTTTTAAGCTTGGTGCTCTTGGCACCATAATGGCCAGAAAGAGAAAAAGAGATGTATGTATATGTGAGCACGAGTACCCAGCACAAATCCACAAATATGTTGACACCTCCATCATCCCTCTTTTGAAATCACAATCAGTGGGTCAGTAATCTTCTTGCTTTCCCTACTCTGTTTGCATTGCTTCTTGTCAAGGGAGGGGAGTTTTGACACCCTTCAATGATTGAAAATAAATCTGTAATACATTTTGGCAAGGCAATTAATATTGTAACAGGAGAAGCAGTTTCAGAGGTCCATCAGAAAATGCACTTAATAATTAATCCTGAAAGCTAACTTCAAAACCAATCCATGGTTGCTGCTATGTAAGTTAGCAGCCAGATTTTGACTAAAATAGATAAAATTACACACACAGGCAACAAATAAAAACATTTTCTTGATGAGACAAAGTAGATGAATGAATGATGTATGGTGGAATTATATGGTTTAAATGTTACAAAAATGCAAGTGAATGTTTTATCTGAATACATGTTATGTATTAGTATGTTGGCTTGGATGACAGATTTCATTAAATTGTTAGCACTTCCGCACACAGTGCACACAAATCAACTCAGGGTTTCAATTGTATGGTTTATGAACGCTGTTTTCGCTTTTTGTTAAATGGCAATTTTACTTTACTTATTTTCAAAGAGCATTAGGTTTGTTCAGGCAGGACAGATACATCATGTGTTGCTAATTTACCAGCTGATCACTATGCACACAAATCAGAATCCATTCAAAAAACATTCTTGCTACACCAAGTGCTGCACACTCTGTTGCTTGTTAAAGCTTTATCTCCAGGTACCCAGCCTCCACCTGTGCCAGCATATCTACTTGAGCCTATGGTAGCTCCTAAAGTGATAACACAGCACAGTGTTGCTATCCTGTTGCTGCTCATTATGCCCCTACTATACCAACAGCATAGTTGCTGGACAAGCAGGGGACAGCCTAATGCAGAACAATAACTGCCAAACAAAACCGCATCACACTTTGTCGTTATAAATGGTGTATCTTCTGATTGGAGTGTTCATGACTAAATAATGTTCGGTGGAAGATTTCGTTTAAATGAAACAGTGTCTCCGTCATGCAACATTAGTCACTTAATTTCACCATGCATTTATCTGCTATGCAGCTAAAAATGTATACATTTTGAACCAACAGGACATTTTCTGCAAGATATGTGAAAAGTAGAGCTTCTTCTGCCCTTAGTACTGTTTTGGGGGGCATTTACTTCCACTAAATTTCCTAAGAAATGATACAATTAGTATTACATGATTTCTTTCACACATTAATTTCAAATGACTGGCAGTGGCTCTACCACCTACAGTAAACATGCTGCTGTGCAAAAATCATACAGGTACACATTTTTGTAGTTTGCTACTTTAGATGTACAGTATATGGAGCTGAATGCACTCTGTTGGAGCATCTGTGTATGCTTCATCTAGCCTTGCACTTCTGGAGCACTCAGCAGACGACAGCTTTCTGCTCCTTCTCGCCTCTGTGAACACCGGATATAACTATCATGCAGGCAAATCGCCTTTTACTGGTAATGTTCACACAACATGCAATGAGCTGCATCAGAGCACAAGAGGTCAAATTCATATTCTGATATACTTACGTATAAGTTAAAATACTGTGCTAATGTAATGGGTCATCAGCTGCCAGCCTAGTTTATTTGTGGTCATATGTGCAGTGAACATGAGCAGTCACTAATGGTAAACACATGGTGTAAATGTTTAAGTATGCCGTTATGTTTTTTATGTTTTATCTGTGTTTACTTATTTATTTATTTATTAGAACGGTAAATAACAGATACCAACATAATAAAATTGTACAATAATGTGGCTGGTCTGTCTGTCTGTCGTCTCTCTCTCTCTCTCTCTCTCTCTCTCTCCCTCCTCTCTCTCTTTTTCTCTCACCCCAACTGGCGAGGCAGAACGACACCCACCTAGAGCCGAAGGGTCTGGTCCTAGGTTTCTGCCTTTTAAAAAGGCAGTTTTTCCTTGCCCCCGTCGCCAAGTGCTTGCTCATCGGAATTTCCCCATTGTGGGACAAATAAAGGAATATCTTATCTTATCTTATCTTATGGTGGTACTGTTTGGTCTCTGTAAATAATGTTATAAGGAGTTACTTACTAATTATAGTTATTATTAATTAAATTATGTTCTTGTATATTCTTTTTCATGTAATATAAATGCATGTCTTTG